ACAAGGACAGAGCCGCCCAAGAACATGGGAACCCACCTCTTGCATTAAGTGTGACCTGGATGTGAGACATGGAATCAAAGGAGATCATTTTGAAGCTTTAAGATTTGACTGCCCTACTGCATTTCAGACTTGCATGGAGTTTTTAGACATTTCATTTTGGCCAGTTCCTCCCATTTGAAATGAGTGTATTTATTCAATGCCTGTACCTCCATTTTATTGAGGAAGTAGCTAACTTGCTTTTAATTTTACTGGCTCATAGGCATAAGGGACTTACTTTGTCTCAGATAAAACTTTGAGCTGTGAACTTTTGAGTTAATGGTAAAATGAGTTAAGACTTGGGGCACTGTTAGGAAGGCATAATTGGTTTTGAAATGTGAGGGCGTTTGATTTAGGAGAGGCCAAGGGTGGAATGATATGATTTGACTGTGTCCCCACCCAATTCTCATCTTGAATTTTAACTCCCACAATTTCCACATTTTGTGGGAGGGATCCAGTGGGAACTAATTGAATCATGGGGGTGAGAGATCTTTCCTACACTACTCTTGTGACAGTGAATAAGTCTCAGGAGATCTGATGGTTTTATAAAGGGGAGTTTCATTTCCCTGCATGGGCTTTCTTCTCTTGTCTGTCACCCATATGAGACATGCCTTTTACCTTCTGCCATGATTGTGAGGCCTCACCAGCCATGTGAAACTGTGAGTCTATTAAACTTCTTTCTTTTATATTGCCCAGTCTCAGGTAAGGCTTTATCAACAGTGTAAAAATGGACTAATACATATGGTCAAGTGAATTTCAACAAAGTAACAGCATTTAAAAAATAACAAGGTTTTTTTTTAAGCGGGTGAATTTTAGTTATTTATATGGAGAAATAATAACCTTCAGTTCTTAGTTAATGCCAAAAACAAAAATTAGTCAAAATTGTCTTAAGATCTAAATATAGAGATAAAACTATGCAGTTTATAGGAAAACAACCCTTATGACATTGTTAGGTAAATAATTGTTAGAAAACAAAAATTGCAAACTACATAAACATTTATAAATTGTTTTTCATATTAGAACTTTTGCTCTTTAAAAGACAAACAAGATAATTTAAAGCCAAGCCTAATGCTGTTGAAAATATTTTCAAAGCATTTATTTTAAAGGAGTATTATTTTCATAATTGATACTTTACACTTTTACAACTCAAATATATGAAGTACAACAACCTAATAAAAAAAAGTGTAAGAGATTTTCAATAAACATCTCACCAAAAAAGATAACAGATGACAAATAAAAGCAAATATGATTATGAGTCATTAGACTAACACAAAATTTAAAACATATTGAGAAACCTTCACTAGAATGGCTAGAATTAAAAAGACTGACATAACCAAAATTAGCTAGGATGTGGAACAACTTCAACTCTCATTCATTGTTGGCAGGAGTGTACAATGTTGTTACTACTTTGAAAAATTAATTTGGTTGTTTTTTAATAATACATTTACCATCAGACTCTAAGCCCTTAATATAAGATATCTATTGAAACCATATGCAAAACAACAATACATATATTTGGGTGGCCATAGTAATTTTATTATAGTAGCTAAAACCTGAATAGCAACTCATATATCTATCAATTGGTAAATAAATAAATAAATTATAATATATCTATACAATGGAATACTCAGCAATACAAATTAAAAGTGACATGTATGTAACAATGTGAATTAATCTCAAAAGTATTTTGTTACATGAAAAAAAGTTAGTTACACGAGATTACATTCGGTGTGATTTGTTTTATAGTTATATAAAAATCGGAGTATTCCAAAGCCAGAAATAGGGGGAATGGATTGATTACAAAAGAACATGATGAAATATTAAAGAGTGGGCATTGAAGATATATCAATTAATAAGAAATGTGATAAGCTTTGGAAGATAAGTAGAAATTCATAAAGCAAATAAGGGAAAGAAAATAGAGAATTTTTAGAGATTAATTTGGGGGAAGGAGCTGAATTTTGATACAACCTAGTATGTTTCATTAACTCTAAGTTGCTTCACATTTTCTGAGTATGAAATGAAAGAAGTCTTCAAGGAAATAAAATTGATACTCTTTTAAAAATTAAAGTAAATCTTTAAAAAAAGTAAGATTTCTCTGATTCCTGGTAACTTCTCACAATTTGTTCTGTTTAATAAATTGAGCTTATATTTCAATCTGTCTGAACGACCATTTGCTTATAAAAATTTCAAATCATTATGGCATGTCTTTTTAAAAATGTTAATCCTGTTTTATTTACTTCATAGCTCTTTGTACTTTTATTGCATTAATATCCTTATATGATTATTTCGTCTTCCTCCACCAGAAAGTAAGTTTCATGAAAGCAGAATTTTAAGCTTTGCTAAGGACACAAACTATCTCTGTTTGTTATATCTTCCTAGGTATTGACTACAGTGAATAGTTATCAGTGTTTTTAAAAATATACTGACCTATATTAAGATTGTTTTAGTTCATAAAAACCTACAATGGGGTAAAATGTAAGTTTTTTCTGGGATGGGACAATTTATACTTATCTGTATCTTAGTCTCTGCTCAAATACATTACCAAAATGCAGTTTCATGCATGTATTTCCATTCTAAACTGGAAAATGAGGGGAAAGAACAAGATGGTCAAATAGAGGGCTCCACTAATTTTCTCCCACGCCTCCACCAGTTTAACATCTATACAAAACAAAGCACCTTTATGAGAACCAAAATCAAGCGAGCACTCACAATAGCTGGTTTTAACTCACATCAATAAAAGAGACACTGAAGAAGGTGGGAAAGAAAGTCTTGAATCACTAATGTTACCTCTCTCCAGTCCCTTGGCAGTGGCCATGTGATACAAAGAGAGAATCTGTGTGCCTGTAAGAAGGATAGCAGAGCAATTGTGAGAAGTGGTATTGAACTCAGTGCTGCCCCGCCACAGCAGAAAGCAAAACCGGACTGAATTCAGCTAACACCTTCCCACAAATGAAGCATATAAATCAGTCCTAGCTAGTAGAAAATAACACATGCCAGCAGTTAAAATTTGAGTTCTGGCAAATGTCACCGTGGTAAGCTAAAGTGCTGTGGGGTCCTAAATAAACTTGAAAGGCAGTCTAGACTGCAAAGACTGCAACTCCTAGGTGAGTCCTAGTGCTGAACTGGGCTCAGAACCAGGGGACTTGGATGGTACATGACATACTAAGACATCATCTGGGGTGGCCAAGAGAGTGCTTACATCACCCCTCCTTTAACCTCAGGCTGCACAGCTGTGGCTCCAAAAGAGACCCTTTCCTTCTGCTTGAGGAACTAAAAGAGTAAAGAGAACTCTGTCTTATGTCTTGGATACCACCTCAGTTACAGTAAGATAGGCCTTCAGTCAGAGCCGTGAGGCCCCCTTTCCAGGCCCTGGTTCCAAAATGACAATTCTAGACACATCCTAGGCTAGAAGGAAACCTGCTTCCTTAAAGGAAATTACCCAGTCATAGCAGGATTCATCACCTGCTGACTAAAGAGCTCTTGGACCCTGAATAACTAGGTGAAATATCCAGGTAGTGTATCATGGCCCTTCAGTGCGACTATGAGCCTTGCTGGCTTCAGGTGAACTCAGCATAATCCCAGCTATAGTGGCTATGGTGAAAAACTCTTTCTACTCGAGAAATGCACAGGGAAGAGTAAATGGGAATTTGTCTTTCATCTTAGGTAACAGTTTAGCCACAGGGGTTTAGAGAACCAAGTAGGTCCTTGGGGTCTTTGAATCCAGGCCTTGGTTCTTCTATGGCATTTCTGGACCTACTGTGGGCAAAGGAGAGTCCACTGTCCTGAAGAATGAGCCCTATCCTAGGCAGCATTTACCACGGTGTAACTAAAGAGCCCATTGACCTTGAGAAACTATTGTCAGTAGCCTGGCATACTCCCCGTGGGCCCATGGTGGTAGTGGTCACAGACTAAGGCTTCTCTGCCTGTGGAAAATGGAGAGATGAGTGGATAGAACTGCTTCTTGTGTTTTGAATGCCAGCAAAGCCATAGTACAATAGAACACCAGGTAGACTTCTAAGGGTCTTACTCCAGTCCCTGGCTACTGAATGGCACGTCTGGACTTGGCAGTGGTCTGTGGGAAGTTGGTGCCCTGAAGGAAAGGGCACAGGCCTGGCTGGCTTTCTCACCTGCTGGTTATAGAGCCCCAAGGCCTTGAGCAAACATTGGAAGTAGCCAGGTAGCGTTTATAGAGGCCATGAGCCCGACGCAGTCCTGTGCTGGCTTCAGGTCTGATCAAGAGCACTCTGATGCTCGTGGCCACAGGGGTGCTTGTGTCATTTCATTTCTAGCTCCAGGTGGTTCAGACTGGAGAGAGAGTTCATTTTTTTGAGAAAGCGTAAGGGAAGAAAACATTAATCTCTTCCTGGTAATCCAGTGAATTAATTCTTCTGGATATCATTTAAGACTATCAAGGTGGTATCTCTATGAGTGTACAAGAACCACAGGATTACTGGCCTTGGATGCCCCCTGAAGCCAACAGAGTTTAGATCACAATACCCAAGTCTTTTTAAATACCTGGAAAGCCTTCCAAAAAAGGATGGGTACAAACAAGGTCAGACTGTGAGCAGTACAAAAAAAAAATAACTAACTCTTTAATGCCCAGACACAGATGAACATCCACATGCATCAATATCATCCAGGAAAACATTACCTTAGCAAATGAACTAAATAAGGCACCAGATACCAATTCTGGACAAACAGAGAAATGTCATCTTTCAGACAGAGAATTTAAAATAGCTGTGTTGAATCTTCTCTCTTTTTATTAGTCTAGCTAGTGATCAATCTATTTCATTAATATTTTTTAAAAAAAACAAGCTCCTGGATTTGTTGCTCTTTTGAATAATTTTTCATGTCTCAATCTTCTTCAGTTCAGCTCTCATTTGGGCTATTTCTGGTCATCTGTTATGTTTGAGAAGTCTTTGCTCTTGGTGCTGTAGTTTTTTTTTTATAAGTTGTGATGTTAGTTGTTAACTTCAGATCTTTCTAACCTTTTGATGTGAACATTTAGTGCTATAAATTTTCCTCTTAACACTACCTTATCTGTGTCTCAGAAATTCTGGTCTGTTGTGTCTTTGTTCTCAGTAGTTTCAAGGAATTTTTTTTATTTCTGTCTTAATTTTATTATTTACCCAAAAGTTAACCAGAAGGAGGTTACTCAATTTCTATGTAATTTTATGGTTTTGAGCGAATTTCTTTGCCATCATTTCTAATTTGATTGCAAATTTGATTGAATTTGCTGAGGAGTGTTTTACTTTGGATCATGTGATTGATTTCACATTATGTGCTATGTGGTGATAAAAAAGTGTATATTTAGTTGTTTGGGGGTAGAGTTCTGTAGATATCTATCAAGTCCATTTGATACAACGTTGAGTTCAGCTCCTGAATATCTTTGTTAATTTACTGTCTCAATGATCTGTCTAATATTAACAGTGGGGTGTAAAAGTCTTCCACTATTATTGTGTGGGAGTCCGAGTCTTTTTCAAGGTCTCTAAGAAGTTGCTCTATGAATCTGTGTGCCTCTGTGTTGGGTGCATATATATTTAGTATAGTTAGTTCTTCTTGAATTGAACCCTTTACCATTATGTAAAGGTTAGAAATCCACTACACTGAGTGGGCTAATGTGCTCTGTACAGTTTGATGGCTTGTGTCAGCCAAAGCATTTTGTATTGTGATGACAGCAGGATCCATGCTTGTAGGGGCACGTGTGGCAGAATGCTAGCAGGTCTTGGGGTGCTTGCCTCCCTGTGGGTGTTGAAAATGCACCTGCAGGGAGTGCAGGCTGCCCCTCTGGTGACTGTGTGTGGTTGTGTTGAAGATGGTGTTGGCTACAGGGTGGGGTGCTTGTGAGCACAGGTCTGGATACCTTCTTTGCCCTGCAAGCAGTAGTGTCAGGGCAGGGTACTGCTGTATGTGCAGTCTTAGCACAAGGGTTGAATTCACCCAAATTGGAGAGTATTGTAAACTATAGCTGAATTTAATTTAAAAATCAAAAAAGAGCCCAGCAATCAACTGAAAATATAGGCCCAGAAAGCTTACAAATTGTCTGATGAGAACAAGAGTTCAGGAGTTCTGATCCCTAATCTAATTCTTCACCTAGGATACCACACTGCCTTCTCAGGGCTGCCTTCATGTCTCTGTTCTTCAGACTATAGATGATGGGGTTCAGGATTGGGGGCACAACTGTGTAGAACACAGACAGGAAAACATCCAGAACCGAGGGAGAATTTGAAATTGGCTTCACATAGGCAATGCTGCCAGATATCATAAAGAGTGTTACAACCACAAGATGTGGAATGCAGGTAGAAAATGTTTTTGATCTACCCTCCCTAGAAGGAATCCTCATGATGACTGAAAAAATGTACATATAGGAGAGAGTAATTACAACAAAGGAGATTATCACAAGACTTGTAACAAAAACCATTACTCCAATCTCAATGGTAATTATTTTGGGATCTAAGAGGCTTAGGAGCTGTGGAATGTTACAGAAAAATTGACGTATTCTATTGTGCCCACAGAATGGTAATGAGAATGTTGCTGTCATAAGCATGAATCCACAGATCATCCCACTGAGCCACGACATTGCCATCATCCTTATACAGACACCTTGGTTTATGATGACCTCATAACGTAAGGGCCAGCAGATGGCCACATAGCGGTCATAGGACATCACTGTAAGGATGGCTACCTCAGTAGTCGCCAAGTCCATGAAAAAGAAGGCTTGCAAAGCACACCCAAAGAAAGAAATGGAAGTATCATGAGTCAAGGAACTGACAATAGATTTTGGAATTGTGACAGAGATGTAACAAAAATCTAAGAAAGACAAGTTTCTCAAAAAGAAATACATTGGGGTTTGGAGGTGAACATCCAGAGTGGTAAGCATGATGATTAGGAGATTTCCTATGAGAGCTGCCAGGTAAACTAAGAAGAATACAGCAGCATGTACAATCTGAATATCCCAGGAATTCGAAAATCCCATGAGGAAAAATTCAGCAACTTCAGTTTGGTTAAAATCATTTGTGGTCAATCCATTTCTTCCTAAAGAGAGGAAAAATATGAATTATAGAAATATCAAATATGGCTACTCCAACTGACATTGAAATTTGTGATAATTAAGGTTACTCATATGCCAGTGTGGATACTATCATTCTAAACTTAAATTTCAATTACACAGAAGAGAGTTTTATACAAAGCATATTCTCAATAAATATGTCCTAGTATGTAAGGTATGTAAAAGAGGACAACCAAAATGCAAAATAAAAAGGGAGAATTAATAACCACACTGAAGCAATCAACAAAGAAAATATATAGTGTTAAGAAAAGAATAAAATAGGCATTCCTGGACAATAAATGAATATTAGTGTTTTTCCATCAAGTGAATATACATATTTATTTTGAAGCATTTTATTTGCTGCTTATTTGTTGAAGTATAGCATTGCAAGTGGTTTGTCATAGTTCTTTTCAGTTTTTATGAAAATGAAATCAAAATCATATTAGTAATCTGAAAAAAGTCTCCTTATGTCATAACTATTTAGTGAGATTACAGTCACAGCCTTTCAAAAAAATATCAAGAGACATTTGTTAAACACCTGACATAAAAAGCACAATGGTTGACTCTTAGAGTAAATATTTCATAAGAAACAGTTTTTGAATTCAGAACTTAAACAATCAAACGGAGAATGTAGGGAAGTAAAATACCAAGTGGAGTCTGGTATTACAAAGAATAGCGACAAGATGAGAAGATAAGGTGAGAAAGAGTGATGGTGGATTGTATTGAGAAAACAGACTGGTCTTTTGTGTTATAGAAGAGTTGCGGAGAACAGTATCTGAGCTAGAGCTTGAGAACTATTTTACTGAATTATTATTACACAGGTATTTTTGAAGAAAGCCACATAGGAAAAGGCAGAGGTACAAAAGTTTTTATAGTATAATTAGAATATGGATGTGGATTAGCTAAAAAATGTGCATTTATGACAGTCATTTTGCTGATCTTCAGAATTCATCTTCAATGTAGAGTCAAAAAGAATATCAAATATGTATTCAAAACACCTAAAAATATTGGGCATTTTCTATAATGATCTTTCTTAGCATCTGTCACTTATTTTATTTTATTTTATTTTATTTTATTTTTTATTTTGCTTTGGATTGGTCTAGTCCAGTAAAATGGTGTCCTCATTCCCAGAATTAGTGTTTCAAGCCAAACTCTAAAATGGATTTTCACCCTTATCAATTGATGTAGCTGGAATTTATGTACAGTAAACTGTATTAATTTAAAGTATGCAATTCTGGGGGTTTTGGCAGTTGTATATGCCTATGAAAACACCACCAAAACCAAAGCAGACTATTTTCATCATATCCAAAAGATTCCTTATCCTTCTTTGTATATAATCTCTTCCTCTGCCAGTTGTCATTCTAGGCAATCACTGATTTCCTGGTCTTTCTAGGGCAAATCAAAAGTTAAACCGGGAAAGAAAACCAAAATGGAGTCAACTGAGTGTCTCTCCTGGAAAATGTGTTTCTTCTTGTTCTAGCTTTCTGACATTGATTGCCTAAATAGCTGATTGTTAAAGGGACTGGTACAACCAAATGGTGAGAAAAATGCTTCTTATGACCAAGCAAAAGAACCAGCCTCATCTTGAGAGTCTATTCTGACTACGGTTTACCAGGGCACCATTAATTAACATCTGTTTTATTAAAACATGAAGGAATGATATGGTGACACTAATCAGGAAGAGAAATATTGAGGACTCTAAAATGAGAGCTATTATGCAGCATTGAGAGACATTAGAATTGACTCATTTATTGGGAATTTTTTTTTTTTTTTTTTTTTTTTTTTTTTTTTGAGATGGAGTTTCGCTCTTGTTGCCCAGGCTGGAGTGCAATGGTGCGATCTCGGCTCACCGCAACCTCCGCCTCCTGGGTTCAGGCAATTCTCCTGTCTCAGCCTCCTGAGTAGCTGGGATTACAGGCACGCGCCACCATGCCCAGCTGATTTTTTGTATTTTTAGTAGAGATGGGGTTTCACCATGTTGACCAGGATGGTCTCGATCTCTTGACCTCGTGATCCACCCGCCTCGGCCTCCCAAAGTGCTGGGATTACAGGCATGAGCCACCGTGCCCGGCCATATTGGGAATTTTTAAAAATTCAGTCAATGCAAACATGTTTAAATCTGCACAGAACATCCTTTTCATCGAACACACGTACACAGCACACACAGAACTTTCATGTCTGAAAGGAAATATAGACTCACCCAATCCCACCATACATCAAGACCATACACACACACACACACACACACACACACACACAGAACTTTCAACACTGAAAGCAAATATAGACTCATGCAATTCCACTATACGTCAAGACTTGTATTAGACCACTCTCTCTTTTCTTTTGCCAACTTTCATGTATGTGCATTGCTCACACCAAGATCCAGAACTGCTATCACCCAAGCAAAAGAAATGAGAATGTATTCTAAAATGTATGGTGCTTAATCTATAAATCAGATAAGAAGATGGTATGGAAATATATCAGTACAATCTATTAATTGAAAAATAATATAACATTATTATGGTTTAATTTTCCAAATTTATGGTATTGAACTTACTGCATGATGTGAGCTGATTTTTGTTGATCTGGGCCATTGAGGAACTTCAGTCATTCAAAATTTAAAATTTCCATTTCTTTGAGAAGGAACCTTGGTTTATCTAAATATATCAGATAAAATTGAAAAATGCCTTAATCTCACAATGTGGCTGTAGCCACTAAGTTGAGACTGCAGATATCTTTGTCTTCTCCCTGATTCAAAAATATAAACTTGATGAGTACAACATCTGGTTTCCATTTAGCTGTGATTCAGTATTTGCAAAGGAATAGTGGTTAATAAGTGAGATCCTAATGAGAGAAACTCTTTATAATTTGGAGGTCTCTGGAGACCAGATTTCTTGTGTTTTAAATGTATCTTTGGGGAACAGGAAGCAAAGCAGAGCTTTGATTAATTCACTGACTAGCAATAAGGAGAAATATTCATTTTGTGATGTTGGATAAAGAATGGGAATTAATTGAATAATATGATCTTCCACACACCCAGAAGCTTGATTAGATAGAGCATTGTGCTGAGAGTTAAAGAAGAAATAATCAGTAATTACACTTGGACTATAGGTATAAATCCAACTAGAGATTCTGGAACTAGATTTTCATTCTTAATATTTTTTTCCTAATATTCTTCTCTAATAGGTATATTTGTGCCCTTTTCACAGCCCTTTCTATCCTAAGTCAATTTTGTATATGAATGGCAAATTTTAAACACAAAGCTAATTTAGCTGGGCATCCTGGTTCATGCTTATAATCCTAGCACTTTAGGTGGGGCTGAGGCAGACTCATGGCTTAAGCCCAGGAGTTTGACACCAGTCTGAGCAACATGGTAAAACCCCATCTCACTGGTACCATCTCATGGTAGCATGTGCCTGTAGTCCCAGCTACTCAAGGGGTTGAGGTGGGAGATTTATTGAGCCAGGGAGGTGGAGGCTGCAGTGAGCCATAGGCAGGCCACTGCCCTCCAACCTCAACAACAGAGCAAGATCCTGTCTCAAGAAAACAAAACAAAATAAGAACAATGAAAAATGAATCTGTCACCCTCATTTTAAGACCTTTCTGTGCACTTATTTTATATTAAAGGGAAAATTTGGTGATGTGGCCTGTATGCTTGAATTCCCTGACTCCTTCTAATTATCTGCCTCATCTAATTCTCTGCCATTCCTCACCCCTACATGGATTGAGTGGCCATCAAATTGTTTCTTTTGTGAAATGCTGTTCAAATATTTTCTCATTTAAAATTGGGTTTATATTTATTAGTATGTAGGAATTATTTTCATTATGGGTGTTAATTATTAATGAAATTAGTTATAGATATTTTTAATGTTTGTAGTTTTATATTACTCTTTATAGTGTTTGATAAATGGAACTTACTGATTTCAGTGTTGTTTTTCTATGAATTCTCCACTTTTTTTAAATTATACTTTAAGTTCTGGGGTACATGTGCAGAACGTGCATGTTTGTTACATAGGTATACTCGTGCTATGGTGGTTTGCTGCACCCATCCACCTGTCATCTACATTAGATATTTCTCTTAATGGTATCCCTCCCTTAGGCCCCCACACCCTGAAAGGCCCTAGTGTGTGGTGTTCCCCTCCCAGTGTCCCTGTGTTCTCATTGCTCAACTCCCAGTTATGAGTGAGAACATGTAGTGTTTGGTTTTCTGTTTTGTGTTCGTTTGCTGAGAATGATGGTTTCCAGCTTTATCCATGTCCCTGCAAAGAACATGAACTCATCCTTTTTTGTGGCTGCATAGTATTCCATGGTGTATATGTGCCACATTTTCTTTATCCAGTCTGTCATTGTTGGGCATTTGGGTTGGTTCCAAGTCTTTGCTATTGTGAACAGTGCCACAATAAACATACGTGTGCATTTGTCTTTATAGTAGAGTGATTTACAATCCTTTGGGTATATTCCCAGTAATGGGATTGCTGGGTCAAATGATGTTTCTATTTCTAGATCCTTGAGAAATAGCCACACTGTCTTCCACAATGGTTGAACTAATTTACACTCCTACCAATAGCGTAAAAGCATTCCTATTTCTCCATATCCTCTCTAGCATCTGTTCTTTCCTGACTTTTTAATGAATGCCATTCTAACTGGCATGAGATGGTATCTCAATGTGGTTTTGATTCGCATTCTCTAATGACCAGTAATATTGAGCTTTTTTCATATGTCTGCTGGCTGCATAAATGTCTTCTTTTGAGAAGTGTCTGTTCATATGTTTTGCCCACTTTTTGATGGGGTTGTTTGTTTTTTCTCGCAAATTTGTTTAAGTTCTTTGTAATTCTGGGTATTAGCCCTCGGTCAGATGGATCAATTGCAAATTTTTCTCCTATTCTGTAGGTTGCCTGTTTACTCTGATGATATTTTCTTTTGCTGTGCAGAAGCTCATTAATTATATCCCATTTGTCTATTTTGGCTTTTATCGCCGTTGGTTTTGGTGTTTTTGTCATGAAGTCTTTGCCCATGCCTATGTCCTGAATTGTATCGCCTAGGTTTTCTTCTAGGGTTTATGGTTTTAGGCTCTATATTTAAGTCTTTAATCCATCTTGAGTTAATTTTTGTATAAAGTACAAGGAAAGTGTCCAGTTTCAGCTTTCTTTATGTGGCTAGCCAGTTTTCCCAACACCATTTACTAAACAGGGAATCCTTTCCCCATTACTTGTCTTTGTCAGGTTTGTCAAAGATCAGATGGTTGTAGACGTGTGGTGTTATTTCTGAGGCCTCTGTTTTTTTCTATTTGTCTGTATATCTGTTTTGGTACCAGTACCATGCTGTTTTGGTTACTGTAGCCTTGTAGTATAGTTTGAAATCAGGTAGCATGATTCCTCCAGCCTGTTTCTTTTTGCTTGGGATTGTCTTGGCTATGCAGGCTGTTTTTTGGTTCCATATGAAATTTAAAGTATTTTTTTCCAATTCTGTGAAGAAAGTCAATGGTAGTTTGATGGAGATAGCATTGAATCTATAAATTACTTTGAGCAATATGGCCATTTTCTAAGAGCCTTCACTGTGATTCACCTACAGAGGCCTTACAAAGGCCCTAAACAGAATCCCTATCTGCCACTGAAACCTCAAGAACCATTAGGTCTGCTGAATCCCACTGCCCATATAACAAAACAGCTTCCGCAGCAGCCTGCACCTGTTGCAGAGCCTGCTCTTATTCTGAGTTCCCACTCAAAACTAGCAAGCTGCTTAGTAAATTGGCTAGAGTAACACACCCAAATGAAGAATATGCTGCTGCCAAGATCCAAAGGGGGGTCCACTAGACATTGTGCTTCTTTTTTGAGCATGAAGGAAACTAAGTACAATACAATTTATTCTTCATCATAGAAGGGAAACTCAACATGCTTTACACCCCTCGACCCTAGAAATTTCACTGGGATAGATGATCCCTGATTATTGTCACAGGCATTTCCCATCCCTTGGCATGTATACATCTCATCAATAAATGTGGAAATGCCAAAGATTGCCAGCATACCACCAGAAGCTAGAAGAAATGCACTGAAAATATTTTCCCTTAGAGAAACCACCTGAAAGTTTTTACGCTTTTTCCCTTAAGAGACATGCTTTGCCAATACCTTGATCTTGAGCTTCTAACCTTCAAAATTGTGAGAAAATAAATTTTTATTATTTAAGCCACTCACTCTGCGATCCTTTGTTATGGTAATACCAGTAATCTAACACACCTAGATATTCAAGTTTATAGTCGCTTTATTCATTTATAGTCACTGTATTCATAATATCCAAAACTTAAATATCCTACATATCCATCAAGTGATTAAATTAACAAATGATAGTATATCTATATGTTGACATACTGAGACAAGTAAGATGTACAACTACTGATAGAAGGTTAAACATAGATGAATCTCAAAAATATTATAATGAATAAAAGAAGCCTTACACAAAATAAACACAGAAAGGATACATCGCTACAAATATCTAGAAAAGTTATAATTATACAAAGCAGATCATTGGTTACCAAGACTGATGAAACCAAGGGAAAAGGAGCATTATGGAACTTTCTGGAATGATGCATATGTTCTGTCTCTTCATAAGGAGGTGATTACCTGGGTGAATACATTTGACAAAATTCTTATAATTCTACCCTTACAGTGGTTAATTTTTCTTGTATATAATTATACTTCAGTAAAATTGATTTTAAAAATATAAACAATTTAAAATATTCGAATATTTATATGCATAAAAGATAAACTAAGCTTCACCAAATAGTTTACAAGTTAAAAAGAACTTATATAGCAATGATTTTATTGTTCTTCACTACCATATAAGACAGTTATATTTTTTAAATTCTACTTTGCTGAAAAACCAGATCTCAGAAAGATTAAGACATCTTCCATGGCTTATGGTGAACCACCAGAAGACACATGCCCTTGGATTTCAATATTCCTTCTACTAATCAATACTGTTTATTAACCTATTGCCTGCCCCTTCTCTTATAACTCCAGACTGTTATTCAAATTAAAATTAATCTTACTAAAAATACGTTATTCATATCATAAAAATAGCTACACAGGCATACAAAAAGTTTAAAAATTTGTCATTTTTCTTAAATTGGCTAATTTCTACAAGACTGGCATATTTTTGATAGAATGACTTTTCTAGAATTGCGAAGTTTCTGTTAAGTTCCCCTTCCACACATTAAAATCACCACAAGAGAGCGCAAGAATTCGTTGAGTAGAGAGGCAAAATGTGTATACAACAAATGAGTTAGCTGAAGTCCACCTGTTGATTAATGCTTGTCAAGGACTAAAAGCTCAGTACAGGTTAAAAATCCCCAATCTTTAGATCTAAAATGCTCCAAAATCTGAAACTTTTTCTTTTTGAGACAGTCTCACTCTGTTGCCCAAGCTGGAGTATGGTGGCAGGATCCTGGCTCAGTTCAGCCTCATCCTCCCCGGCTCAAACGATCCTACTATCTCAGCCTCCTGAGTACCTGGGACTGCAGGAGCATGCCCCCACTCCTGGCTAATTTTTAATTATTTGTAGAGTCAAGGTCTCACTGTGTTGCACAGGCTGGTCTCAAACTGCTTGGCTCAAGAGATCCACCTGTCTTGGCTTCCCAAAGTGCTGGGATCACAGTCATGAACTGCATCACCAGCCTAAAACTGAAACTTTTTGAGCACTGACTTGAAATAGTGACACTTTTGCTTTCTGATGGTCCAGTGTACATAAACTCTGTTTCATGCACACAATTATTTAAAATATTGTCTACAAAAAATCAGCTGGGCATGGTGGTGCGTGCCTGTAATCCCAGCTACTCAGGAGGCTGAGGCAGGAGAATTGCCTGAACCCAGGAGGCGGAGGTTGCGGTGAGCCGAGATCGCACCATTGCACTCCAGCCTGTGTAACAAGAGCGAAACTCCGTCTAAAAAAAATAAAAATAAAAATAAATAAAATATTGTCTAAAATTACCTTCAGCCTATTCAGATAATGTGTATATCAAACATAAGTGAATGTTATGTTTAGACTTGAATCCCATCTTCCAACTCTCTCATTATGCATATGGAAATAATCCAAAATCCAAACATAAATCGGAAATCCAAAACACTTCTGGTCTCAAGAATCTCAGATAAGGAATACTCAACTTGTATACTGTAACTATACAAGAAAAATATCATGAATGCATTGTCAATTAAGGCCTTTGTCTCCATATTAGGAAGCTGGCATATCATTTAAAAATTTCTTGGGAAAGAAAGTATAATTAGATGGATTATTTTCCAGTTTGCTTCCATTTTAAAACCAGAAACTATACATCTACCTTCAGTAGCGATAACTAGTCACAGATTAAATTAACTAGTGTATTGTAAACAAAAGTATAAACACAAGTTTACCTTCAATTTTTACTAATCTTTGAACAAAATCCTTCAATTCTCTATTGGCTAGAAAGGCAATAATGAGCAAATATATATGATTCATTTAACTTCGTGTGTGTGTGTGTGTGTGTGTGTGTGTGTGTGTGTGACACTTTCAGGTTCTCTTCTGAGAAAAGCCAATGTCAAAAACTATTAATTCTTGAACTATTACTGCAAGTTTATAAGCAGGAATCTCCAGTACATAGAAAAAGCAAAATTGAAGAAAATATTAGGTTAGCAAAGGGTCTGTTCACTGGTCTTATAAAGTTTATTGAGTAGATTACACCTCAAAGATGACATAAGTAATTGGAAGGGGAGATGTTGGCATTTGAAATTTGGAGAGCAGGGTTGGAATTGAAGATTTTTGGACGTGTATTTGTGGAGGCTTATTCTTAACTAAAAGCCAAACTCTGTAAAATATTTGAAGAAGTTGATTCTGAGCCAATGTGAGTTACCATGGCCTGGGATACAGTCTCAGGAGGTTTTGAGAAAGTGGGCCTGAGGTGGTCAGGTTACAGTTTAGTTTTACACATTTTTAAGGGAGACGGGAGTTCCAAGCAAAGACATAAATCATACATGGAAAGTGCATATTGGTTCAGCTTAAAGAGGCAAGATCTTGAAGCAGGAGAGAGCTTACAGGTCATAGGTAGATTCAAAGATTTTCTGATTGGCAATTGGTTGAAAGAGTTAAACTTTGTCTAAAGACTTAAGAAGTGAGTAGAAAAGAATGCTTTAGCTAAAATAAGGAGGTTGTGGAAAACAAGGTCTTTCTTGTGTAGATAAAGTCTCATTGATAGCATCCCTCAGACAGCATGTGATGCTATACCAAAGTCAGGTTGGAATTGGGACTCCTATTGCCACAATCAGTCTGTTTCATCAGTTGTACAATCTTTATTTTAATGTTGATCCTGGTCACTTGTGCCTATATTCCAAAGGTAAGAGGTATAACAATGTGTGTTTCACCCCCTTTCCTATCATGGCCAAAGTTCAGCCTTTCAGGTTCACCTGAGGTCTCCTTGCCCCAGAAGGGGGTCTATTCAGTCAGTCAAGGGGATTAGGATTTTATTTTCAGTTTACATTATTGTCCTAAGAAGTTTTGTTTTTTTTAACCACCTCCATGTCCTCAAACTTTACAAGTAAAACACATAGAATACTTTAGGTTATTGTGTCAATTTATATGATTTCACCTAAACCACAGAGACGTCACATTCCAGAGTTGCCCAAGGATATACAGTAAGGTAATATTTCTAAACTTTAGCCAGAAATGCATATTTCGTGCACCACTCAGAGTGAAGAATTCCTCCAGAGCCTGCTAGTCTGCATCATCTGCATTGCTGGAAGGTGACAAAGCAGCTTGAGGGCTTTAGTGTGGAAGCACGACTTCATAATCATGCTCATGGGTGCAGGAACAAGGCCTAATAACAGAAGTCCTAAGAAGGGCATATTCTGTCTCTGACCTTTCTCTAAACTCTCTTATTCTCCTTGTGAGGGAGTCAATGTTCTCATAGCCATCATCATTGGAGCTCAGGGAAGATCTCCGATGGGGGATGTGATTAATGACAGTGTACCACACTTCTTCAGAACCACTGCCATTCTCGTTTTCCTGCCAAGCACAAAGAGAAAAGAAATCAAGGACCCAGAGTCATTCACAAATTGAACTCAGTATCCTACCCTCCCTTGTTCTTTATACAGCTCATGCTGCTCTTACACCTAAGGTATCTAAAACCCAAGCATTCCTATATACCAGTGATAGAAAAACAGAGAGCCAAATCGTGAGTGAACTCCCATTCACAATTGCTACAGAGAATAAGACACCTAGGAATGCAACTTACAAGGGAAATGAAGGACCTCTTCAAGGAGAACTATAAACCACTGCTCAAGGAAATAAGAGGACACAAACAGATGGAAAAACATTCCATGCTCACGAATAGGAAGAATCAATATCATGAAAATGGCCATACTACCCAAAGTAATTTATAGATTTAATGCTATTCCCATCAAGCTACCATTGACTTTCTTCCCAGAACTGGAAACAAATACTTTAAATTCCACATGAAACCAAAAAAGAGCTCATATAGCCAACACAATCCTAAGCAAAAACAACAAAGCTGAACAAAAACAGAATAGGAACAGCTCCAGTCTGCAGCTCCCAGTGAGACTAACGCAGAAGGTGCATGATTTCTGCATTTCCAACTGAGGTACCTGTTTCATCTCATTGGGACTGGTGAGACAGTGAGTGTAGCCCACAGAGGGTGAGCAGAAGCAGGGCGGGGTATCACCTCACCGAAGAAGCACAAGGGGTCAGGGAACTCCCTACCCTAACTAAGGGAGGCCATGGGGGACCGTGCCTTGAGGGACAATGCAATCCACTCCAGATATTACACTTTTCCCACGGTCTTCACAACTCACAGAGGAGGAGATTCCCTCAGGTACCTACATCACAAGGGCCCTGGGTTTCAAACAAAAAAACTGGGTAGCCATTTGGGCAGACACTGAGCTAGCTCTAGGAGATGTTTTTCTTACCCCAGTGGCTCCTGGAATGCCAGTGAGACAGAACCGTTCACTCCTCTGGAAAGGCTGCTGAAGCCAGAGAGCCAAGTGGTCTTGTTCAGTGGATCCCACCCCCACGGAGCACAGCAAGTTAAGATCCATTGGCTTGAAATTCTCGCTGCCAGCACAGCAGTCTGAAGTCAACCTGGGACACTGGAGCTTGGTAGGGGGAGGAGAGTCCACCATTACTGAGGCTTGAGTAGGTGGTTTCTCCCTCACAGTGTAAACAAAATCACCAGGAAGTTTGAACTGGGCAGAGCCCACCACAGCACCACAAAGCTGCTATAGCCAGACTGCCTCTCTAGATTCCTCCTTTCTATGTAGGGCATCTCTGAAAAAAAGGCAGCAGCCCCAATAAGGGGCTTATAGATAAAACTCCCATCTCCCTGGGACAGAGCATTTGGGGGAAGGGGCGGCTATGGGCGCAGCTTCAGCAGACTTAAAATTTCCTGCCTGCCCGTTCTGAAGAGAGCAGCAGATGTCCCAGCACAGAGCTTGAGTTCTGCTAAATGACAGACTGCCTCCTCAAGTGTGTCCCTGAGCCTCATGCCTCCTAACAAAAAGACACCTCCCAGCAGGGGTCAATAGGCGCCTCATACAGGACAGCTCCATCTGCATCTGGCGGGTGCCCTCTGGGACACTTTCCAGAGGAAGGAACAGGCAGCGATCTTTGCCGTTCTGCAGCCTCCACTGGTGATACCCAGGCAAACAGGGTCTGCAGTGGACCCCCAGCAAACTCCAGCATACCTGCAGAAGAAGGGCCTGACTGTTAGAAAGAAAACTACAAACAGAAAGCAATAGCATCCACATCAACAAAAAGGATTATCATGCAAAAACTCCATACGAAGGTCACCAACAGCAAAGACCAAAGGTAGATAAATCCACAAAGATGAAAAAAAGAAAAAGCTCAAAAAGGCTGAAAATTCCAAAAACCAAAATGCCTTTTCTCCTCCAAAGGATCACAACTCATCACCAGCAAGAGAACAAAACAGGACAGAGAATGAGTCTGACGAACTGACAGAAGTAGTCTTCAGAAAGTGGGTAATAACAAACTCCTCTGAGCTAAAGGAGCATGTTCTAAACCAATGCAAGGAAGCTAAGAACCTTGATAAAACGTTAGACAAATTGCTAACTGGAATAACCAGTTTAGAGAAGAAATGAATAACCTGATGGAGCTGAAAAACACAGCATGAGAACTTCATGAAGCATACACAAGTATCAATAGCCAAATTGATCAAGCTAAAGAAAAGATATCAGAGATTGAAGATCAACTTAATGAAATAAAGCATGAAGACAAGATTAGAGAAAAAAGAATGAAAAGGAAAAAACAAAGCCTCCAAGAAATATAGGACTGTATGAAAAGACCAAACCTATGTTTGATTTCTGTACCTGAAAGTGAAGGGGAGAATGGAACCAAGTTGGAAAACACTCTTCAGGATATTATCCAGGAGAACTTCCCCAACCTAGCAAGAAAGACCAACTTTCAAATTCAGGAAATACAGAGAACACCACAAAGATACTCCTTGAGAAGAGCAACACCAGCACACATAGTCATGACATTCACCAAGATTGAAATGAAGGAAAAAATGTTAAGGGCAGCCAGAGAGAAAGGTCAGGTTACCCACAAAGGGAAGCCCATAGGACTAACAGTGGATCTCTCAGAAGAAACCTTACAAGCCAGAAGAGAGTGGGGGCCAATATTCAACATTCTTAAAGAAAAGAATTTTCAACCCAGAATTTAATATCCAGCCAAACTATGCTTCATAAGTTGAAGGAGAAATAAAATCCTTTACAGACAAGTAAATGCTGAGGGATTTTGTCACCACCAGGCCAGCCACACAAGAGCTCCTGAAGGAAGCACTAAATATGCAAAGGAAAAACTGGTACCAGCCACTGCAAAAACATACCAAAATGTATGGTGACTCATTCCTGTAACACCAGCACTTTGGGGGACTGAGGCAAGTGGATTCACTTGAGGCCAGGAGTTCCAGACTAGCCTGGCCAACATGGTGAAACCTGTCTCTACTAAAAATACAAAAATTAGCCAGGTGTGGTGGTACACACCTGTAATACCAGCTACCTTGGAGGCTGAGGCACCAGAATCACTTGAACCCAGGAGGTGAAGGTAGCAGTGAGCCGAGATTGTGCCACTGCACTTCTGCCTGGGTGACAATGTGTGACTCTCCCTAAATAAATTAATTAATAAATACTTCAGCAGAATTGAGGCCAAAACAGTAAGAACTTGCTACTCATCTAGATCAGTTAAAATACTTTTTATTTCCTTTCATTTCTGCATTACAATTACCACATAAATTATTTAAAATATGAAAGATTTCTAAAAGTATATTTAGAAATTACAAATAAAGGAAGACGGACGCTATTCTTGAATAAATCATCTGTATTTTGACATTTATCAAATATAATAAAAGTTTGTGTTTTTCTTTTGTCTTGCTTTTTGTTTTCTAATTACCTGATTAGAAGTGGATGAAACTTCTTGGCCTGGATGATTAAAAAAAAAAAAGGAAAGCGTTATTTTGCACCATCACAGATTGAAGGAAAAGGTGAAAAAATAGAATGTAGTAGTAATAAAACTGCAGAGGCCTATTATCTAAACATCTGACATTACCCCATCTTATAATTGAAGTTCTCAAGACTGAGTGACAAGATAAAGAACATGTGTTCTGAGGTAGCATCAATAGTATGTTCTTTGTGTAAATAAAACACATCTAATGTACTGAATAAAATGGATTCCAAATTTGGTAATAAAATGTTGTTCATAAACATGCTATGTCAATGCAATATGATAAGCATAAAGAATGATTATAGTTGCAAATTTAAGATTTAAATTTTATGTAAATATCACAGGAAAATCATACAATGCTTTAAAATGAACACTCACTATAGAGATAGGTACAGAAATAACATGAGTAACTATTTCAAGTTACGTACAAATATACAGATTGATGTTAATTCCATCTATGAATGCTGTAGCAATTTACATATATGTGAATCTGAAATCCACTACTAATATTTTTAATAAACAAGCTAGATTGAGGGGTCACAGAATTCTAAATATGTCAACCATTCCTATTTATGAGAAGAAACAATGTTAGAAACAAACAAAAGGGCATCACAATAAATCCTGCAAATGCTAAATACATAAGAGAATATGGTGAATAATTTTAAGCTTAGGACTTTGAAATTTTAATTGAAAGGAAACATTTGAAATAAATATAATTTGCAAAGATGGCAAAATGAAACAAAAAATATGAATAGTATGTAACTATCAAAGCATTTTTATCTATACGTAAAATATATTCTTTACAGCGGGGCACAGTGGTTCATGCCTGTAATCCCAGCACTTTGGGAGGCCGAGGCAAGTGAACCAACTGAGGTCAGGAGTTTGAGACCAGCCTGACCAACATGGAGAAATCTGTCTCTACAAAAAATACAAAATTAGCCTGGCATGGTGGTGCATGCCTGTAATCCCAGCTACTCAGGAGGCTGATGCAGGAGAATCTCTTGAACCCAGGAGGTGGAGGTTGCAGTGAGCCAAGATCACGCCACTGCATTCCAGCCTGGGCAATAAGAGCAAAACTACATCTCAAAAAAAAAAAAAATGTTCTTTACAATACATACCACTCTGCCAAATGCATTCACCAAAAAATTCAATTAAAGATTAGAAAAAGAAATAAGATCAATCACACACAAACACTTCAAAAGAGAAGAAAAATTCCAAGAATGATCACTAAGGAGTACCATCATTTTATATTTTACCAAAGAAAGTGTGCTGGCAGAGTGGTAGGTAGGTGGTCAGTGACTGAGGATCTCAAGAGTACAGTGTGGTGTCAGACAAATCAAGGAAGCAACACTTTCAGGAGGTAGAGCTTGAGAAACACTTATAAGTACTAGAGAAAGGGCATTTAAGAGTAAGCTTGGAAATTGTTCTTTAAAGTCAGTCATTGCCATTGGGTAGAGGCATTCAACTTTTTTGAACATGACTCACAGTTAGCGATGTATTTTACACCATGATTTAGTAAAAGCACATACATATACATGAATAGAAATCATAGCATCGTTTAACAATTTTATTTGGGATGCACTCTGATGCTTTTTAAATATGTTATTCATGATGATGTTTGCTTAAATAAATTTATTCCATAGCCCCTGGAAATTGCTCAGTGGAGTGGCAGTGATAGAGGCAACTTACTGGGATCTGAGATGTGATGGGGAAATGCAAAGTTCGAAACAATGAGGCTATACAGTTATTTCAAAAAGCATGAGAATACAGTGGAAACAACAGCAACAAGAAACTGAGTTTCTTTATAGAGGCAGAGAGTAATACTGTGGTTGCCAGTGACTGGGAGGTGAGAGAAATGGGAAAATGTTGGTCAAAGCACACAAACTTGCAGTATAAGATGAATAAGACTTAACGTACAGCACGGTGACCAGAGTTAACAATGTAGCACTCTCTTTCAATTTTTTTAATTTTTATTTTAATGTTGGGGTACATGTGGAGGTTTGTCCCATAAGTAAACTTGTGTCATGGGGGTTTGTTGCACAGATTATTTCCTCACCCAGGTATTAAACCTAGCACCCATTAGTTATTGTCCCTGATCCTTTCCTCCTCCTATTCTGCACCCACTAGGCCCCAGTGGGTGGTGTATCTCTCTGTTTCCACGTGTTCTCATCATTTAGTTCCCACTTATAAAAGTGAGAACATGGGTATTTGGTTTTCTGTTCCTGTATTATTTGCTAAGAATAATGGCCTCCAGCTCCATCATGTCCCTGCAAAGGGCATGATCTCATTCTTTTTATGGCTGCATAGTATTCCATGGTGTGTATGTACAACATTTTCTTTATCCAGTCTATTATTGTTGGGCATTTAGGTTCATTCCATGTCTCTGCTATTGTGAATAGTGTTGCAGTGAACACACACATGCAGGTGTCTTTATAAGAGAATGATTTATATTCCTTTGGATGTATACCTAGTGATGGGATTGCTCGGTCAAATGGTAGTTCTGTCTTTAGACAGAATAGAATCGCCACACTGTCTTCCACAATGGTTGAACTAAATTACACTTCGACCAACACCATATAAGTGTTCCCTTTTCTCCACAACCTCACAGCATCTGTTACTTTTTTGATTTTTAGTAATAGCCATTCTGACTGGTGTGAGATGGCATCTCATTGTCGTTTTGATACACATTTCTCTAATGATCAGTGATATTGAGCTTTTTTTTCATATGATTGTTGGTCATATGGTATGTCTTCTTTTGAAAAGTGTCTGTTTGTGTTCTTTTCCCACTTTTTTTTTAATTTTGTTTTTTGAGACAGTGACTCACTCTGTCACCCAGGCTGGAGTGCAATGGCGCAATCTTGGCTCACTGCAACCTCCGCCTCCTGGGTTCAAGCAATTCTCCTGCCTAAGCCTCCCAAATAGCTGGGATTACAGGCAAATGCCACCATGACAGGCTAATTTTTGTAGTTTTAGTGAGATGGGGTTTCACCATGTTGGTCAGGCTGGTCTCAAACCCCTGACCTCATGATCCACCTGCCTCAGCCTCCCAAAGTGCTGGGATTATAGGCGTGTGCCACCATGCCCAACCCTTTCCCCAGTTTTTAATGGGGTTGTTTTTTTCCTGTAAATTTGTTTAAGTTCCTTATAGGTGCTAGATATTAGACCTCTGTCAGATGCATGGTTTGCAAAAATTTTCTCCCATTCTGTAGGTGGTCTGTTCATTGTTTTGTTGTTGTTGTTGTTGTTGTTGTTGTTGTTTTTGAGACAGAGGTTGGTTCACTCTGTCACCCAGGCTGGAGTCCAATGGCACAATCTCAGCTCACTGCAACCTCCACTTCCCAGGTTCAAGTGATTCTCCTGCCTCAGCCTCCAGCATAGCTGGGGCTACAGGTGCGTGCCACCATGCCTGGCTAATTTTTGGTATTTTTAGTAGAGACAGGGTTTCACCGTGTTAGTCAGGATGGTGTCAATCACCTGACCTCGTGATCTGCCGGCATCAGCCTCCCAAAGTGCTGGGATTATAGGTGTGAGCCAACATGCCTGGTCATCTGTTCACTCTTGACAGTTATTTTGCTGTGCAGAAGCACTTTAGTTTAACTGGATCCCATTTGTCCATTTCTGCTTTTGTTACAATTGCTTTTGGTGTCTTCATCATCACATATTTGCTTGTTTCTATGTTCTGAACGGTATTGCCTAGGTTGTCTTACAGGGTTTTTATAGCTTTGGATTTCACATTTAGGTCCTTAATCCATCTTGAGTTAATCTTTGTATATGGCGTGAGGGGTCCAGTTTCAATTCTTTGCATATGGCTAACCAGTTAACCCAGCACCATGTATTGAATAGGAAATCCTTTCCCATTGCTTGTTAGTTAACAATGTAGTATTCTTTATTTGAAATTTGCTAAGGGAATAGATCTCAAGTGTCCATATGTCCCCACATTCATACAAGATGGTAGCTATGTATAGTGATGGATTTATTAATTTGATGTAGTAATCATTATACAAGGTATATATATATATGTCAGATCATCACATTGCACACCTTGAATATTAGGCAATTTTTATTTGTCAGTTATACCTCAATAAAGTTGGGGTGAAAAAAAACAGAATTTCTTTTAAATATGCTTGTCCACAGAGGCTGAGCCCTGATATTCATAACCATCAATTTTGAGTAATTACATGATTACTATACCTACATACTATGACAAACAGAACAAATTCTTTTTTTAAAGAGACAGGCTCTTGCTACATTGCTCACACTGGACTCTAATGGACTACAGGACTGTACCATCAGCTTCTTGCAACTTCTTGAGAACAAAAAAAATACACTTTTTATCACCTGCTAATATTCAAAGGCCCTATTTTGAAACACCAATGTATAAATTAAAATCAAGAGAATTTTGGTTAACTTCTTTCTGCAAAAGTTTATTAAATGCTGATCAAAAAAATAATATACAAATATTACTTTAATTCCAAGAATGATGTGATCAGTTTTATGAAAGAGTAAGAACTCCAAGCAGCCTCTTCTCCAGTCTTTTATTACAATAGGATCAAGAATGTCTGATAACTGGATGCTTAAATTTACACTTCCCTACTATGAAAAATATTATAAAGCAATGACTTACTTTTCTTATCTTGATCTTGATGTTTTCTTTCAAATGCAGTCATTTCCTGCCTACAAGGAAAGAGATAGTAACACGAGATACTCCAGGTTCTCCGAAGCTGAAAATGCCTTTCAAAGCATTTGGTTACCCTTAACCTAAGGCCATTTTTAGATTTACCATGGAAATTTTAAATAAAATTAAAAGGCTGCTTACTCTACCCTTTTTTAAAAAACCACAAAAATCTAGGAAAACAATGAACAGTGGAAAACAAAGTTCCATAGAGCATGGAGCCAAGGAAATTATTAGATTATCAGACTACACGTATTATCACATGTATGAAAACATATGTATAATATAATGAAATTTAGGACAATTCAAGAGAGAAAATTGAAAGTTTTGAAATTTATTTCTCTGCTATTCTTGATGAGGGTGTATAAATTCTTAAAGGTAAATAAGAGGGTCTTACAGATTCTAACTAAAACTTTATAGTCGTATACATTAATAAGTGTGGGCCAGTGATGAAAGAAATGGAGATTATTTCCAAAGGGACACAATTTATGCAATAAAGAGGAGCCAGAGGCAGTGGGGAGGAAATGGGGTTGTCAGCATATCACCTTTTATTTCTCTGTCACTCAGACTCCTAAATTTAAGGGAAAATGTGGAAAAAGGATACAACTTGTAATAAGCTGCCCATCTCAAGGACAGCCAATTAAACACACAGTACAGAGATGTGCCTGGGCTAAGGGAAAAATATTTTGGGAGGAAGTATTCTAAAACGACATGCCACAATCAAAGCCTAGATTTTGCAACAGAGCAGAGAGCCCCTCTTGGAAGCCTGTCAGGCCACCCACAAGCAAGGAAGTAAAGGAAAGTCATGAGTTCCTTCAACGGAAATTCCAGGCACCCAGCTAGCCCTGAGAAGTAGATGAGCAGCCTGATAAGCCGGAGGAAACCTGGACCTCCACCAAACGCATCGCCTGGCACACGGACCTCAGGCACGAGGGAGCCGAGGACTGAACTCCCACTGCCAGGCTTTGTCTAAATCTCTTCCTGAGAAGCCTGGAGGAAATCATGCCAGGGGCCAGACCTTAACATTCCTTTCTCTTGACCCCATACTTTTAGACAAAGCTTTGCTTCCTTAAACAATTGCACATCAAAGAATCTTTTATTCCACCTATGATTTATAAGGCACCCTTCCCCCTCAGCTTCAAGGTATCTCACCTTTTTAGCCAAACCAACTGTAATCTCCATGTATTGATTTACAATTTTGCCTGTAAATTCTTCTTTCCTGAAATTTACCCCTGCCTTTAAAAACCCTTGCTTGTAAGCCATTGAAAAGGACAGGTCTTAAGCCTGAGACCCGCAAATAGACACCTCCTTTGTCCAGCAGCGAAGCTCCATGTGGATGTTTCGCTTTACAGTGCCAGGTGAGCTGCCCTCATTTGGTTCAATGACAGCTGTAGCTTGTTTCTCTTCTGCACCCTCCTTAAAGACACATGCATACATACATGTGCATGCACACACACACAATTTTATCTCACAAATGATCTACTTTCATTCAGAATACTAAGCACAAAGTTACAAAGATGAACTGGATAATAAAAACAAAAAAAACCCAGTGTGTATATGCAACAATCTTGCATGTTCTTCACATGTACCCCAAAACCTAAAATGCAATAATAAATAAATAAATAAATAAAAAAGCACAAAGCTACAAAGATGAACTGCACAACAAAAACAAAACAAAAATATATGTATATATTATTGTTAATAATTATCAACAATAACAAATGGAGAAGGAAAGTGGACTGCCTAAACCAGGAAAATAATTGTAGAGAATGATAACATTTGTATATTAAGTTAAAACAACACTAATAGGGGAGGAAAGAATGAAGAGAAGTTAGCTAATAGGTACAAAAATATAGTTAGCTAGAAGAAATAAGTTCTAGCATTTGATAGCACAGTGAGGAAAATTATAGATAATAATTTAGGCTGGACGTGGTGGCTCACACCTGTAATCCCAGCACTTTGGGAGGCCAAGGCAGGTGGATCATCTGAGGTTAGAAGTTCGAGACCAGCCTGACCAACATGATAAAACCCGGTTTGTACTAAAAATACAAAATTAGCTCAGCGTGGTAGTGCATGCCTGTAATTCCAGCTACTCCGGAGGCTGATGGAGGAGAATCACTTGAACCTGGGAGGCAGAGGTTGTGGTGAGCCAAGATCATGCCATTGCACTCCAGCCTGGGCAATAAGAGTAAAACTCCATCTCAAAAAAAAAAAGCAATAATTATTATATATTTCAAAATAGCCAGAAGAAAAGAATTGTAATGTTCCCAACACAAAGAAAAGATTGATGTTTGAGTAGATGGCTATCACAAGTACTCTGATTCAATCAGTACACATTGTATACATGTAGCGAAATATCACAGATACCCCCAAAATATATGCAAGTATGATATACCAGTTTTAAAATTAGGCCAGGTATGGTGGCTCATGCCTGTAATCTCAGCACTTTGGGAGGCCAGGGAGGGTGGATCACTTGAGCCCAGAAGTTTGAGACCAGACTGGGCAACATGGGAAAACCCTGTTTGTACAAAAAAGGTGTATATTAGCCAGGCATGGTGGTGTGCACCTGTAGTCTCAGGTGTAGTCTCCGCCTACTCGGGAGGCAGAGGCAGAAGAACTGCTGGAACCTGGGAGGCGGAGGTTGCAGTGAGCAGAGATCACGCCATTGCACTCCAACCAGGGCAACAACAATGAGACTTCATCTCAAAAAACAAAGAGATTCAATCAAATGAAACAAAAGTATTCAAAGATATAATCAGAGAAAAGGCATAAAAAATCTTAAGTCTGAAAACTGACTGCACAGGGGGAAAAAAACTAATGACACAGAACGCTGAGACATGGCGACTACAGTCAGTGATGAATGCTTGAAATTCACTGATGGTAGAGCTCAAGTATTCTCATCACACACAAAAATAATGGTAACTGTTATTGGTAATACATTTGAGGTAACAAATATATTAATTTGTTAACGTACTTTATTGTGGTAATCACTTTACTGTATATACATATCAAAACATCACATTGTATACCTTAAATCTATACAGTTTTTTTGGTCACTCATACCTCAAGAAAGATGAGAAAAAGATTTAAAATAAAGACACATGTATAAAAGAAAATAATACATGATTCTGGGGTGGGGGTGGGGAACAAATAAGGAGCTTTCAAACATTCATGGGGAAAAATGTATATAAAACCAAGTCATCAGGAAGGGTGCTTAAGGTGACCCAGCTCCACAACTGGAGAGTGGAATTACACTCACTAAGTTGTGAGGAGAAATATACTGATCCACAAATTGTATTATTCTCCAAGGAAAGAAAATGTATCGTCAAATGTCTTCGTACTGAGATAATTAAACCCTATGAGGTCTTTAGGAAAGAAATAAAACAAACATTACTGCACAATCACATTTGAAATTTGTAAAATGTGAAGTTATATAACAAAGAAGTTGGTGAATGAAGAATTCAGCCACTCGGTTATCTGTCATTCTGAGGCTCTGGCCACAAAATCCAAACCTGTCTAAGGCCAGAGCGGATTATCAGCACCTACTGGTCGTCCACTCTGTCTTAAATACAGTGAAACAATTCTGTATGCTGTGGCCACTGGAAACTTCCAGACAGTGGCAGTAATTCCTGGATTTCTAGGAATCCTCTTAGGTTTTCTTGACATCTCTCATGAACTAAATTGTGTCCTCTTAAAATCTGCATGTTGAAGTCCTAATCCTCAGGACCTCAGAATGTGACTGCATTTGCAGATTGGGTTTTAACAGTGGTAATTCAATTAAAACAAGGTCCTAAGAGTGGGCCCTATTTCCGGATGACACAGAAAATTTGAACACATTCATACACAGAGGGAAGACTCAGGGAAAAGACAGCCATCTACAAGCCAAAGACAGACTGCACAAAACAACCCACTTCTGCCAACACCTTGATCTCAGACTTCCAGCCTCCATAATTGTGAGAAAGGAAATTTTGGTTCTTTAAGCCGCCCAGTCTATGGTACTTTGCTATGACAGCCATAGTAAATGAATACAGATTGGTATATGGGAACTGGACTAGGCAATACTAACGAAGCAGGACCTGCCTCTCTCCTCCTGTCTGAGAGGGAGCTGCGTGCAATGTCCTCAGGTGTCCTTGATATCCCGTCACAGGGGCCTTCTCACACTCCAGAAGATGAAGACTTTAGCAAGCCCCTCATTACAGAAAAGGAGCGGGACAGAAGATGGCATGATAAAGATTAAAACCAACAAACACTAATACTGTCATGAATTGCTACGCACCAAAATATTTAGAATCCATATGAAAGTAAGGAAAAGAAAACATGAAAGGTAACTCAAAACAGTAGATTAATTTCTCTCAGCTGATAAAAAGTAGGAAAAATAATGACAGAGACTATCTGAAATACACAATAAGGTTTCTCTTGCAGACAAATGTCAAAATTATAATCTTTGAACAAAGATTATATATGTTCAAAATTTGTATACATAATAATGTGCACTGATTTCTTTTTCCACAAACACAAGCTAAAATTGTAGTATTTTAAGACTATTTTACATATGAAGAATCCAAAATTTAGAGAATGTAAGTAACTTGTCTCAAACCTAACATACAGGACGAAAAAGTCTTTAATAAAATCCATAAAGCAGAAATAACATAGACCACACAGATACTGGTAACAATGAAATAAAATTTAAATTATACTTAAGACTATAAAACAATATTTGAAATTTAAAATCTATTCAGGTCCAAGAATAAATTAAAATTTGCAAAATATTAGACAATAATAGTATTTCCTTTAATGACACATAGAATACAGGTAAAATATTATTTAGAGGGAATGTTTATATTCATATATGCTTTCATTCCTAAACAAGAAAAATTGAGAACAAAACTATTAAATTTTGAATTCAAAACAATTAGAATAGCAACAATTTTAAAAACTAAGGAAAGCAAAAAAAAAAAAAAAAAAAAAATTTAAAAAAAAAAAAATGCAATGAAACTATGACATCCTGGAAAAAAGCAAAACAGAAATCAGATCAGTGGGTACCAGGGGTTGAAGGGAAAGGGAGGGGTGATGGAAATATTCTATATCTTGACTGTGGTGATTACATGACTGTGTATGTTTTTCCTAAACTTATCAAACTGTGCATATAAGAAGGGTGAATTTTACTGTGCTATACCTCTATAAACCTAAATCTTAAAAGTTAAGTGACTTGAAAGAGCTCACACTGTTTTTTTCTGTAAATGTGATTAAATGAATAATACTCTGGTAAAAATCTAATAATCAAAACTGACTCAGCAAGATGTAGAAAATCCAACTTTATTCAATAAACATCATCCTGTGAAATTAGTCAAAAGGAAAATCAACTTCTGAGCCCACGTGAAACATACATATTTGACTGCAATTCACTAGAATAGTAAAATGGTTCAGATCTTCTTCACCATGCTGACTAGTGAAAATTCTATGAGTCTTGCTTATAAAATTTCCTTGCATGGGAAAACCCTAAAGACACTTAATTTATCTTCATTTAGTTAATGTCTGCTTGTAATAAAGACTTGCTGGTATTTGAAAATGTTGACACTTCAGTTTCTTTAACAAAAAAATATTAGAGAATGACATCTAGTGCAGATCTTACTTTAGACATGATGAAACAAAAGCCTAGTTTAAATGACTAGTTTTTGCCTAAATTAAATGCTTACTGTGTTTAAAAGAGATTATACAGAACTGATTCACAGCAGCTGATAAAGAACCTCAGTTCAATAACATCACCAAATCATTGCTACCTCCCCTCCAGCTACAAACCATGAGAGGAGTTGGGGGGAGCATGAGAAAGGGTCACAAGATAGGCACAGTCAACTCCACTGTCCCTGAGGGCTGACTCATGAAGTCAGCTCTCTCCTTTATGCAGGAAAGTGTCCTCATTCAAACGTTTGGGAGGGGCTGATCCCTGCAAACGTCATTCACAACACCCACAGATACCTGGCTCATCTCCTCAATCCTCTGTCCCTTCATACCATGGAAGAGAAGAGCCATCTCAGAGATAGAAACCAAGACATTGAGATGAAATGATTAAAAAAGAGATTACTGCAAAAATATGAAAAGCCTACAGTTAACCAACAAGGCAGGGTGTTTCTGTTCATCTAAGCTGAGGGAAGATATCAACATCAAGATATCTACTATTTTTTCACTCCATTTTTTTTCTTTTTTCCATTGAGTGTCTCGTAAGGGTTGGGCAACAGATATGCACTAGGCAGTGAAATGACATGACTTTAATGTGCGTGTGGTCTATGAAGGAAGTGGACTGGAAAGAGCTCAAGCAACATATAGTTACAAGTTGAGATAAAGGCATGTAGGTTCTAGTGTCAAAACCATGGGGTGCAGAAGCAAAATTCCTCCCTAATCTAGTGAGGGAGGTCTTTCAGAGAAGGGCATGAGAGCCAGCATCTCCAGGAAGAGACATTATCAATGAGTCCAAGTCCAAATATTGAAAAATTTTTTTAATTGTGCAGTAAAAAAATAGCTTGTGTAACTGCTCTAAGGTGATGCTGAGTTTGGTGGCTTGAAGGACATCAAATAAAAGGAGAATGCCTGTAAGATAGTGAGTGAAGGTAGAGGGAGAGGAACCAGATTGGAGAGATGTGCAGAATCCAATTCTTATAGAATTGTAGGCCCTGGTGAAGAGTTTGCATTTTATTCTGGACGCAATGAAGAACCATTGAATGGTCTCAGGCAAGGAAAAGGCATGATGAGATATGTTTTCCGAAGATTATTCTGTCTACTCACAAGGAAAAGGTAGGAAATATGGCCACCACGTATAGCCAACCGAAACCAAACATGCTTTATTCTAGCCTTACGTTTCTACACTTGCATTATATAATCAATAGAAGGAAAACATGTGTGCCAATACATGTGTCTTTCTTGTTTGGATATAGTCAATGCCTAACCTGCTGCCATGGCATGCAGGTAATCACCAAAGAACTCTATTATAGTGGCCCTAAGAGGTGTTAGTTCTAGTGGGGCAGCCACTCCGGAAGTAATCGCAAAGAAAAAAAAAAAAACTCTGACATGCTCTGTTCTTACCGTTTTCTTTCCTCATCTGGGTTTCCCTTTCTGGGCTTCTTTTGATTCTCTCCAAGGCAACTATATGGAAACACATAAGAAAAAAGAGAGATTGTTACTACCCTCCAAATTTTTTCACCTTCTTCTCTAACTTTCTGAACGATTAAACCAAACCTGCCTTTTCTTTGTGACAAACTTCCCTTAACTTCAAAATCAATAAGCAGTCACAGATAGAATGTATGTCAGAAACTAACCACAGAGACCAGGCTGATGGGACAAAATGCCCACAGTCTGACCTTTGATTCTCTCAGTCTTGGGATTTATGATGACCCAACATGCAAACTTCCTGAATCTCCAGAGGAGGTGAGAGCTCCCACGAAGCTACAAAAACCGTAGCAACAGGAGGTGCCGCCTCTGCAACAACCCAGGGCAAGATGAGGTTTGTGTACAACTTTGTGGAGTATGAGGACTCTCAGTCTTGGCCCTCTGAACCACAGCAAGCTTCTCTGCGCCCTGCTGCATGTGGACATCCATGTACAGATAAGACACCGGGATCTTTATGTACATTCAGGAAAGCTGATTTTTTCTATTACTCTTGGTGTTTTGCCATCAATATCGTCATCTTTACGATAATCAGGCAAACACTAAATGATGAAGTTAGAGAAATCAGGTGATTTGCATGGTTAACACAATAGTTAGCAACTTGTGTTTGTGACTTGATTCATCAAACTTTCTACAACACCAGTTGTCCAAACATAGCATTTCTTTGAGTGGCTTTCTTTTCCTCTGTGATCACATCTGCAACACTGGTCTATCCTTCTGCTTCTACGTAGCTTTGCACGTAAGAGCCTCACCTCTGCTTACCAGCAGAATTCAGGGAAAGTATTTGGAACCAAACCTGAGAAAGTACCTTCCCTGAATATAACTCATATGTATATGTTCAAGAAACATTGCTACGTATCAACACGCAAGGCCACTAAGCAAAGAATATATTTGTTAAACATAAAGTAATGTCAATTTACAGAGGAGGGGACATTTTTATAGAATCAGTTGCTGATGTAGATATTTTGTATAATAGTCACAATTACAGTCAAATCTGGATGTAGTGCTTATTTAATATTGTAGATTGGGCCGGGTGCAGTGGCTCACACCTGCAATCCCAGCACTTTGGGAGGCCAAGGCAGGTGGATCACGAGGTCAAGAGATCGAGACCATCCTCGCCAACATGATGAAACCTCATCTCTACTAAAAATACAAAAATTAGCTGGGCGTGGTGGCACGCATCTGTAGTCCCAGCTACTCGGGAGGCTGAGAAAGGAGAATCACTTGAACCCGGGAGGCGGAGGTTGCAGTGAGCCAAGATCATGCCACTGCACTCCAGCCTGGCAACAGAGTGAGACTCTATCTCAAAAAAGTAAAAAATAAAAATAAAAGTAGTGTAGATTGTAAATCAGGTAAAGAATGTCTCCTTTTTTTCTCCCCCTTTTCCCAGAATCCAGTTTTCTCACGATTCCATCTTTCTAAACTGGTCATTAAAGAACCTGGTAAAATAATTGTCCTTGGGGTTATTAGTGATTCACTGACTTATGCTCCCAAAGGATGTTTGTATTTTAAAGTTGAAAACAAGACAGGAAAGTACTTAACATCAGTAGGGACCTAATTGGAATTCCACACCATTAGTATTACTGAACATAACTGGATACTACTAAATTCTACTGTGAATAAAGTAAAAGTGTTTTTCTTAGTCAAGAGGAATTCAGATAATATCAGGCCATAGGTGATGTACAAAAATTTGTTGACCAAATTAACAAATCGATGAATACTCTACTGTTTTTAAAAATGGGTATTTTATTAAGCTTTAAATGTATCTTGGCCAAAGAATTAAGCTTATGGGTAATTTTTTATACCTTCTAGGTTTTTTTCTTCTTGTTTTGAAACTTTCTAAATGTTGGATGTTGACTTATGACTTTATAACTCCACAAAGAAAGTCTTAATAAACATCCCCCAAAATCAACAATTTGCACACCATTTCTCCAACTATCAAGTAGTAAAATTGAAATTCAGTAAGCTGTAACTAAAAGTGTACATGTCTAGGCATAAGCAATATACTATAAATCCTTATGTTAAAGAAGGAATCATAAAGGAACCTTCTAAAACCACAGAATAAATAATAATGCAAGGTACGCAAGACTATTTGCAGGATAAAGTAAAATGTGAAGAAAACAGGTTGCTAAATACATTCATAAGAAAATATAACTAATAATGACAAAGTAAGCATTTGTCTTAAAAAGTTGGGAGAAAAAAAGGAAACAAGAAAGTTGTAAGTAAAAATGAATATGATAGGGAACCAAATCTTAGAAAATAATAATATCAATAAGATAGCAAAAGTCTGGAAAGACCAACTAAAGAAATAAGGAAGAGGGACAAAAATACAGAAAGTTCAGAATAAGTATTACAGACATAAAACAAACATGATGAATAATTATGTAAAATAAACATGATGGCTTAAAATGAATACCTTGGAAGAAAATAAAATGCAAAATCTGGCATATGAATACCATCAATAACAAACAATTCCAGCTTATATAGCTGCATACACAATTTACCAAACTTCAAGTGACAAATATACTCTCATATATAAGATATTTCAGAAAGTAGAAAAATGTTAAATGATGCCAACCCATTTAATGAGATTTGTAAACTTTAATTTTAAATTAAATAAATCAAATTTTTTAAAAAATCACAGGTCCAATTCAATCATGAAAATAGATGCAATAATCCTCAATAAAATATAAGTTAACTAAATCTAAAACTATAGTAAAATGGCACACACCACAATCAAATGGGTTTTATCCCAGAAATCTAAGGATAGGTAATCAGCAAAAATACTTATTAACATAATTAGCCACTTTAGAAGTCTAAGAGAAGAATCATGAGGTTATCCCAATAGTTTAAAAATGCATTTGATAATGTTTGGTCCTTATTAACAATAAAAACCCTCAGAAGAGCTGGGTGCCGTGGTGAATGCCTGTAACCCCAGCTCCTTGGGAGGCTGAGGCAGAAAGATTACTTGAGGCCCAGGGTTCAAAGCTGTAGTGCACTCTGATTGCATCTGTGAATAGCTACTGAACACCAGACTGGGCAACACAGTGAAGTCTCATTTCTACATATTAAAAAAAAAAATAGAATTTTCTTATTTTGATAGAGGCAATATGCCAAAAACATTAATGCCAAACATAAATGTCAAAAATATACAGCAAACTTAATGAAAATAATTTGGAAAAAAAATTATGATCAGTTATAAGACAAGGATGCCTAAGAATTCTGACATTGTTAAACATAATTATGCTATCAAATAAGATAAAGGTACCTATAAGATTTATAAGAAATGAAAAAGAGTAGAAAAATCTTTAACTTTATACATGATATATTAACTATGTAAAATTGTAAAATTTCTATGGCTAGCCCTGGGGAGGAATGAGTTGCCAGAAAAATCTTTAACTTTATAGATGATATATTAACTGTGTAAACTATGTAAAATTTCTACAGATTTCATAAGATTAAAAAGCCGTGAAAAAAATGAGAAATTCAACAAGGATAGTGAATACAAAATCATCTTGCAAAATTCAATAACATTCCAACAATAACAGACTAGGAAAAAATGCCACTCATAGATTTATTATTGTTGTATATGGTATCTAGAAATCAATCTAAAAAAGAATAAAAGAAAAACAAAAAATTAAACTATTAGAATGCATTAAAGAATATTTTTAAAATGTATTTGTAAATAATTGTTTTGATAGGAGTATTAATAGTCTATCTGCATAAACATAGAACAATTTGCAAATACATCTCTATATTCACAGTGTTATCCCAATCAAAGTTCAAGCTGGCACTTTTGATAAAATACACAAATTCAGATTTTGTGTATAAATTTGTATGGGAGGATAAAGTCTTCAACCAAGTTAAACTCTTTAACCCGGTCGAGGGAGATGGCACGAACTAGCGGGTGTGGGGAAGACAATCTGCTGCCTCACTAAGACAGCTTCTCTGACCTGTTTTGTTTGACTGTAGGTCATAAGCCCCCCATTCCAGAGCGTGTTCTGCCCCATACCCGTAAGTAAAGAATGCTGCACAGAGAGGTCAAGAAGAATCTAAACAGACAGAACAAGACTTCCTGCGATTTTCCACTCAGTCTATTAGCATTAGGTCATATCCTTTTTGTCCAGTCATATTTCTACATGGTACCCACTGGAGCACAGGAGTGATATGATGAGAGTTTTTCCTTGGGCCTGTCACTGTAGTCACATCATATGCAAGACTGTCTGGAAGGGGACTGGAAGGTGGATAGAGGGGTGGGATGCAGAACACCCGATCATTTAAGATGAAGCAAGATGTAAGAACAATAATTCCTGTTGTCTATATACATTCTACAAGTTATGATGTATTGGAAGAGTATAAGGCTAAGCATTACCAAAAAAAGGAGTGACTAAAGTCAAAAGCATTCAAATGCATATTCTGCCTCCATAATTTGCAAGAACCTGACAGTTCATTCTCATACCAACCCACGAAGCTGATAGATGGGAAGGTAAGCTCTACACCCACATAAAGAAAAAAAGGAGCAGAAAAATTCAAGGCGCAATTGTCTAGGGTTGCCAGATGAAATACCAGATGCACTGCTACATTTGAATTTCAGATGAACAATGAATAACTTTTTAGTAAAATACAACCCATGTAATAATGCCCAAAATATTATATGAGGCACAGTCTTACTAAAAAAAATTATTCTTCTGAAATTTGAATGTGACATAGCATCCAGTATTTTTGTTTTCTCATCTGGCATCCTATCATGGTTCGAGAGTAAGGCAAGAGAAGGGGTCAACCGAGCATCACTGTGTGCTCTGAAAGAATGCTGTCTTCAAGCTCAGCCTTCCTGAAGCACACCCTTACAAATGCATATGTCCAGCCTCCCTATCTCTGTTCTCTTTCTCCCAAGAAAGTCAGCCCCCAGAGTCCAGACTCACCTGAGTTTTCGCAGGAGATAATTTCCCATCCTTTCACAGTGACTCGGTTTCTTAGCTCCTGAGTTTCACTCCACTTGGGGAAGTTCTGAACAAAGCACCAAGAGGCAAATGCATGAGACAGGACGTTGCATCTGACCACTGGTTCGTGCTCCTGCCAACCACAAGCTGCCAGGGGCCTGGGCATGATAGAGAAGGCAGGAAGAGCTCAAAAGAGGAGGCGGAAAGGAAAGAGTGAGTGTGCGTGTGTGTGTGTATGTCATGCATGCTCATACACACACGTGGGCGTACAGTGGGAAAAAAGCAGGCTGAAACATGAGTGAATCTAACACTCCAGGTTCACTTTGCTTTCAAGGAAATTCTAGTATTGCAAGATCAAACAAGGTAAGGACTTCCCTCTTCCTCAGAAATGAGCATAAGATTACACAAGAATGGTAATAAGAGAGTTGCATTTTTGCTGGAATAGAAACGATAAATCCGGATTCATGATTTTTTAGGCACGCTGTTCATTACTGTATGGAGATCTGAGATCTCGAGATTCCAAATAGCTTGTCCTCTTCCAGACATACAAAGAGAACACCTCTTCTTGGGAAAAAGAAAACAAAGTTAGAAATAAAATTTCTCTTTGCAACCCGGTCATGCTAGTCAGATCAAATGTCAATAGCCTTTCCTCAGAGGTCTGATACTCCCAAAGACAAGATGGGAGAAGGAGGAAAAAAAAGTATGAGAATAGAAGGTTATCAAAATTACTTGGGGTAGGTTAAGAAGCCATTGTTCTCGTTGTCAGCGGGAAAGCTATCTCGACAGTGGGGAAAATGTAGGGCCTGGAAGACCTTTTGCCAGCATCTGGTCCCCCACTTCCTCCCCTGCGCTGCCCACCAGAGCCACAAAGCACAAGCTGGTTCTAATGATAATTTCAAGGCCACAATATCAGCAGCAGGAGATTAGCTAACAGCTGACTCTGAGCTGTTGCTGTCAGGAGACTGAAATCGCTTATTCATTATGTCTCCCGCCCAATGCTGTGCTCCACAGGTGCTTGATTTTCTTCAGTTTGCAACCAACACAAAATCTGTTTGCTGGATTTAGAAACTACATGCTCACCTATTTCAACCCTTTTTTTCTCCAGTGCGGAAATCAGGACTGAGGAAGTTTCCGTGACTGTTAACGAGCAGCAGAACTCAGGAGTCTGGAGTGCTTTATAATTATTTATAAGTTTTGTATTATTTATTTATCTGTCATAAACATGAGAAAAATATATTACAAGCAGGAGTGTCACACACCCCATTTCAGATTTATGATTTATCTAATTCGTATTTGACAACCTATGTACCAAAGTGCTGCTTCTCAAACTTTCACATGTAAGAAAGTCACCTGAGGATCCTGTTAAAATGCAGATTCAGACTCTTTCTAACTGGGATCAATATTCTGCCTTTCTAACAAGTCCCCAGGTGATGCCACTCCAGCCAATCCATGAAGCAGCAAGGCACTAAGAAGGGTGTTCCACCATTGCTGTCCTTGACCAGAAACATGGGCATCACTGAGAATTTGTTAGGAATGCAAATTCTCAAGCCCCACCTCAAACCTGCTGAATCAGAAACTCTCGGGGGTGGGGTCCTCCTGTTCCCTTCTAAAATTTGAGAGCTACTGAAATAAACCTTCCTTCCTCTTATTCTGATTACTCACAAATAAGCTTATTAATCCTCAAATGCTCAAGTAGGTCCATGTTAGTTTTTAGGCACTGAATGACAGAAATGTGGTAACACGAAAGGTTTTCCCTTTTTCAGCATGTCTAACTCCCATCTGTCCCATCCTAGCATAGATTGGTCTGGTAAACAAATCTCCTGGAACTCGAGTTCTCCATCTGTAGAATGAATAGGGGGTACGTGAAAGAGTCTTAGGAAACCATAGGTGTCCTGCCATGATTATGGCTATGGCTGCTGTTTGCGAACAAAGACATGCACGATATTCAACTTGATTTAGATTCTCGGTGCCGTGCAGAAACTTAAGTACAAGAAAAATAAAACATTTAAATAACCCAGAATCCTACTACCCTCAACTACCCTCTTGTGCCTTTTTTTTTTTTTTTTTTTGAGACTGGGTCTTGCTCTGTTGCCCAAGCTGGTGTACAGTGGCATGATCAGGGCCCAACTGCAGCCTGTACCTCCCAGGCTCAAGCGATCCTCCCTCCTCAGCCTCCAAGTAGTTGGGACTACAGGTGTGTGCCATCACACCAAGCTAATCTTTTTTAAAAATTTGTAGTAGAGGCAAGGCCTCATTACATTGCCCAGGCTGGTCTCAAGCTTTTGAGCTGAAGCGCGCCTCCTGCCTTGTCCTCCCAAAGTGCTGGGATTGCAGGCTTGAGCCACCACTTCCAGCCCCCTTGTGAATTCTGATGCAACCTTTACCATCTTTGCTTTGTGAAAACAAACATGCACCCACTGGTTCTAAAATTTCCAAAACTAGGATCATCCTTTCCACATAAGTGTTTTCATGCCATTAAATGCATTTCAAAGGCCATTTTCTCAGCCAGGTGTGGTAGTGTGTGCCTGTAGTCAGATCTACTTGGGAGGCTGAAGCAGGAGGATTCCTTGAGCCCAGGAGTCGGAAGCTATAGTGTGGAATGATCATGCCTGTGAATAGCTGCTACATTCCAGCCTGAACAACAGAGCAAGACCCTCCCATCATTAGAAAAACCAAAACAAACAAAAATTTATTTTCTTTCATTCCTAGCTTTACTGATACATAAAAAAGTGAATATAATTATGTACACAATTTGGTGAGTTTGGACATAGGCATGCATTTATGTTACCATCACCATGGTCAAGGAAATAAAGATATGTATCATCTACAACAGTTTCCTTGTATCTCTTTGTGATTTATTTTTCTTTTTTCTTTTTGTAGTAAGAACAGTTAACATGAGATCTACACTCCTAACAAATTGTTAAGTACGCAATATCTTATTTTTAACTATAGGTACTATGCTATAACAATCAGAGTGAAAAGGCAACCTATGGAGTGGGAGAAAACATTGCAAACCATATATTTAATGAGGGATTAATTTCCAAAAAATTTAAGGAACTCACACAACTCAATCGCAAAAATAAATAAACATAACCCAGTTTTGAAAATGGGCAAAGGAACTGAATAGACACTTCTTCAAAGAAGACATACAAATGACCACCAGGTCTATGAAAAGATATTCAACATCACTAATCATTAGCAAAATACGAATCAAAACCATGATGAGATATCTCATGCCCATTAGGATGACTATGATTAAACACATTTCCTTAATATCATTACTAATGGGTGCAAAGTGCCCCTCTGTATAATCATCATAATGGTTGCTTTCAACCAGTTTTTTTTTTGTTATTTCCAGTTTTTCTGTTGCAAAAAATGCTACAGTTAATATTCTTACAAATAAATTTTGACTTAATATTGTTGACAGTGCTTATAATTTTTAATACTAGCTGGCAAATTTGCCTGTATAAGAAATTGTACATATTCATAACATTAAATCTACAACAGCAGTTGCCCACCAGAGGTGTAGGAGATCTTATTTCAGTCACTTGTATAAGGCATGGAGCCAGACCAAACATGTGAGGTGAAATAGTGCATACCTGTTGACAGCTAGTCCCTCTCATCTCAGATAATACTGGAACCAAAACCAATTCCTTCTTTCAGTACAGGGAAGAGAAACAAACTCTCAGATCTGACTCAATTATTTCATTTTTAACAAATGACCAGTAAGATGAGAATTAACCATTGAAAAGCTAACATTTCACCAAATAGGATACTTGGCTTCAAATGTTTTCAATGTCGTTGCTTGACTACATTTAAATCTTGTTATATTTATTGTATGATAGAAAAATATTACCTCAAATTTGGCAAAAGGCAAAATGATGATTGCTTGGTTATTATTATTTCATATTAAAATTTTCTTTTTCGTTTTTGTTTTGTTTTGCTTTTTGTTTTAAGACAGGTCCCACTCTGCTGCCCAGGCTGGAGTGCTGTGTGTGATCTTTGCTCACTGCAGCTTCAACCTCCCAGGCTCAAGTGATCCTCCTGCCTTGGGCTCCCAAGTAGCTGGGACTACAAGGTATGCCACCATGCCAAGATAATTGTTGTTTTTTTGTGGGTTTTTTTTTTTTTTTGGTAGAGTCAGCATTTTTCTGTGTTGTCCATGTTTGCCATGTTGTCTTGAACTCCTGGGCTCAAGTGATCCACCCACCTCCCAAAATGCTGGGATTACAGGTGTGGGCCACCCTTTCCAGACAGGAATTTTCTCATTAGCTTACTTGATCCTCAGGTGGAACTTGTGGGGATTGTATCTTTGTGGTTACGATATATTTGCAAATGTTAAAAAAAAAGGCTTCTCTTTATGACATCACTAGCCTAAATATATCATAGCTGAGAGTTGTGTTTATCTTACGTGCAGCTGCCCAGCAGAAGCTGTTATGTGAACAGAAACTTCAAAGGATATAAAACACAAAGCTAATAGTGTTGAAAAACTTGGAAAGGTCTTATTTACTGACTCTTTTAGCATCAGGACCTAACTAAAAATGTTTTCCTGACTGATAAATGATACAATTCGGCTTAACAAACTGCCTACAGATCTGTGGCCTCATTCTGTCCTTCCACATATGCAAAATTTCAACCTTTCATCAGCACAGCGGTCTTGAGCTCTCTCTACAACTTCACATGAAGTTTTCACCTCAGCAGCCTCCTTGATGTGTTTCTTTTAGTGACATGCGGTCCTATCAGTTATCAGTGATCAACTCAGCTTGTTTTCCAATGCTCTAGTGCTCATTATTTTAATTCTTTGACACCAAGAATTAGACACTAAGAATTAGCAACTTATAAAGGTTCTCTTGTTCACATTAGATTAGAAGTTAAGCCAGGGTGACACACACTTGTAGTCAGTCCCAGCTACTCCAGAGACTGAAATTGGAGAATCCCTTGAGCCCAGCAGTTTGAAGATGCAGTGAGCTATGATCATGCCACTGCACTCCAGCCTTGGTAACAGGGTGAGATCTAGTCTCTAAAAATTTTTTAAATAAGATTAGAGATTAACCTGCAGAAATGGATAAATTACCAATAACTTACGGCTGGCAGAGAAGCAAGTAGTTTTGATCT